CCATCTGTCGTGGCTGCATCTTTCTTGGCTCCAGCCTCAAGCAACAAGTGTACAATTTCCAAGCGGGCCTGGTCGGCAGCAATGAACAAAGCCGTTTCGCCATCCGTCGTTGCTGCATCTTTGTCAGCCCCAGCCTCAAGCAACAATCGCACCACTTCCAAGTGGCCTTTGTAGGCAGCACTAAGCAAAGCTGTTTCGCCATCCGTTGTTGCTGCATCTATGTCAGCTCCGGCCTCAAGCAACAATTGCACAACTTCCCCGTGGCCATGGTAGGCTGCAATGAGCAAAGTCGTCTCCCCGTCTGTCATTGTTGTAGTTTTGTCAGCTCCAGCCTGAAGCAACAATCGCACAGCTTCCAAGTGGCCCTCCTGGGCGGCAATAAACAAAGCTGTTGTCCCTTCTGTCGTTGCTGCATCTTTGTCGGCTCCAGCCTCAAGCAACAGTTGCACGACTTCCAAGTGGTTTTGCTGGGCGGCAAACATCAAAGCTGTTGCCTCAATCAGACCTCTCTGTGTGTCTGCTGCATCTTTGTCAGCTCCAGCCTCAAGCAACAACCGGACAACTTCCAAGTGGCCTTCCACCACGGCAACAATCAAGCCCCTTCCGCTTGGGTGCTGTGGTCTTTGAAGGAGTCTTTCAACATCACCCACGCGATTCTCCCGGCAGTACTGGATTAGTTCGTCCTCTATAGTCTCATCATGAGCACAAAAGGGCAGGATTACCAGCTGTACACTTGGCAGTGGTCTCAAAGTCATGTCATCCTCCAATTCGACAGCTTCGCCACTGATCATCAGTCTTTGCTGAAATCTTGAGCACCTAACCTGGGCTGAAAGACGCCGCTTTAGGTCCCGAACAGTTTGCCTACTTTCCACCATTTTCCGTAACTCGTTCTCATCAAGCTCAGCAACTCTCTTCCCAAACACAAGCACAACATCCATGGTTGATGTCCAAAAGACAGAGGTCTTGAGCCATGGCCCAAATCAAGGCCACAAACAATGCA